ATTGTTACAAAGTAACACAAAGATAAGGTCAGTTTATACCTTTCGTATACGTGAATTAAATGGAGACTTGGGCTGAGAACTGACTTTGACCGATCCAACATCCACGAGTTTAAACGGACGTAGTGCACAAAACATGGAAAAAAAGAGTAGGGGAGGTGAATGGGCGTGGACCGACGACAACGACTACCAAAAGAGGAAGTCAACACGGTGAATGGTCAGTGAAGCATAATTCTCTCTTCCCCTTCATTAAGTCGTCCACGTTCACCTGCTCGCTTCAGTGATTGCTGAAAGACATTAAGAAGTTCAATCGTGTCTAAATCACCACAGTCGATTTTATCAGTCGCCGTTAAAAACCTGCTCTACCTCCCATTAACTTGATCTCACTAAAAAGGCGATCCTTGTGGACCACACGATTCGAGTCCTTGTTAAGTACGAGGTTTAAAAGTCCATTTTATTCACCAGGGCACCACAAGTTCAGTGAAAGGAGGCATTTAAGAGACCGTTGCTATGATGCGGTAAATTTGATATCACCTCATGCCATGTGGCGGTGATGGTGGTGGCGATGTAGGTGTAACATGATCTTTGATAAACACCACATAAGTGTATAAGGCGGGATGACACTGGACAGCTGCTATTGCTCGTCGCCATGTCGTCTTATGCCAAATAGGTGAATAGCCTGACGGCTGTAGCTTTTATGACCACATTATGCTCCCATTAATGGAATGTTTAATTTAGAAATAGCGAGGATTTGAAGCATTTTAAAGTTTTCTATGGGCCGTGAAGTATGATAAATGTTACTATCAAGTTGCTAAATAAAGTTCAGAGGTCAAAAATAAGGTGCTGGTCCATAGTCTTAGTTCATTGTCGAGAACTTTTTCATGTATGCTGTGATGGTGCCGAAAAAAGTGCAGAGCGGAGAAAGAAGGCAGTGCGGGAAGGGGGAAGAAGTGAAGGAGGCCACAACCTGAAGGGATAAATACTTAAATGCTTACTCGGATAATCAGCGTCAGCCCACGATACTAGCATTTCTAGTTTATCACGCTATTAGTGAAGATGCTTCAAAACTTGGGACATCCCCACGGAAATGCGCAAGAATCAGAAAAGCTAATTTAGCCCGAATAATTAAATCACAACGCAAACGGGGATGTACTCATTTGTGTTTCCCCAAATTCATGCTAATTACAATACGTCCCTAAGTCGAGGTCGCTGGATCTGCTTGTAATGCTTTGAGTACCGATACCGGCTAAGACCACTAGGATGGATGGAGCATTGTCTTCAGATGCGCTGCAATCTGTACTCGTAATACTACCTACACATCTTGAGTAAATGGAAATAAATAAGGTCGATAAAGGCATGGATGGGCATCAGCACCTATAGTAGTTCGGTTCGCTTACGAGGACTCACAAGGTTCATTAATGCGTAAAATGGAATGAGGTCCCCGCAAATAATCCCTAGCAATGTGTAAATTTACGATCGAATTATTATGTAGCAACGAGTTATTTTAAAAATTAAAAATGTAATACTTTGTTCAAGTGACTATCTGAAGTCCAGCAGTTACTGTGACGCTTTGCTCATGTGATCACCTGGCGTTTGGCGGTAACTTTAGAATTTGTCTGGCCCCTGTACACTCGGGCCCCATTTACCCCGTCGTCTTCGTAATACATCTATCCAACCTCACTTATGCCTTCTACCACCCTATGGGAAGCCTCGGAAGGCTACAGTTGCACTAAGATTCGTCTGGTGTCTGTACGCGCGGGCTGGCCTTCGGGCCAAATTCATGCCCTTTCACATTAATCACCCCAGAATGCATGTATTCAGCTCCACTTCCTGTCTTATTTTGACTCGACAAAGGTCTTAAGACGCAAAAGATAATAAAACACTTTTTATTCCAAAAGATTCAGCAATATATTTTATAATATTGAGGAAAAGCCAGAGTGTTTGGTTCGTAACAAAAGTTCACATTCCGCATTTCTGCCATATGCGATTTTTTTGCTAATAACCTGTAATACATACTAGTTTGTTTAAGGGAAGTGTTATAGGTGAGAGGCGGGGGCCAATCATGAACGTTAATCAGCGCGTGAAGTCGGCGAGGAGCCCCTCTCTGGTTGATATCTCCAGGTCGATATCCTATTCCATCCCTCCTAATAGCTATGCCTAATAAAGCGTCTGCAACCAACAACCACTTGAAGTCTGAGGACCAGGGACCAGAGAGTAGACATGCGGTCACTACACGACCAACCTACAAATTGTTTTGGAGAGTTTAAAAAAAGCCTAAACCATTTTTTGAACCGTAAGTACTACAAAGTTAAGTTTATTTCTAAGACCTTTAGTAAAAAGCCAACTAATTGCAGTCGTTGCATAAATAATAGCAACTTTATATCACAATAAAACATTGCTTATAAAATATGATATAGCAAATTGATGACGTAAAATATTATCTTGTCGTGTTTCCTTCGTGTTTAAATTCACTACCAGCATAATTTTGCGCAACAGGGCTTGAATTCATTGGTTAACGGGGGCATCAACTTGTGTTAATTCGGGCGCTTTCGAGCTGTCTTGATATGCGATCTCTCTTCGCGGCTATCGTCGTGATATCTACGCTGACGTCATTCACTGTTATTAATGTCTATTACCAAAAGAAGCAATTCTATCCGACGGTGGTTTTTCTTACCAAGCACAAACCATACTTTGCGGTATTTTAGCATTAATAATTTGTAACTCTTTAGTTGATTGTTCTCCAGTGTTTTGCTCTTCTCTTTATCCTAGCGAAAATAACAAGCTGGATTTTCTTCGGTGACATCCGAAGAACGGAAATAGATGTAAATGCTCACCTTGCAATGCCTAATCGTCTCTTAGAATGTATTTTCGAGGATAATGTATACGTCCTTTGACATGTGTCTGCTTTTTACGTTCTTCCAGGAGGATATTAGTACGAAATTCTTGTTTTTGTTTTCGGTGATAATATTCATGAAGGCCTTTCACTGGCTACTGGAAGGGCGTGTGGATCTTGTAGGATTACGTCTTCAAAATATTGTTTTTCTCCCTAGATGGAGCGAACTCCTGTTATCAGGACTTCATTCCACGTGCGAACAATAAGTAATCTGCCCTTCTTATCTAATATTGTTTAGGTTTCATGATACTGTTGGTGTTGATTGACGTTTTTCATATTTCTCATTTTTACTGGGGTGTATCTACGCAAAACGTGGCATCTCTAGCTGTCGGCGCTGAGGTACAACAGGTCAATTAATGGAATGGTCAAATTAATGGAATGTAATTTTCGTGTCTCTTTGGTTTTGCAGTACTATATTCTATTTTTCGAACTGATTTCTACAATGATGCGTTACGGTCTACAAGTATTTGACTCGATGCGGGATACCCCATGGGACCAGAAAGCGCTCTACCTCCTCTATGTTGATGTTTTCGTTGGAATGCTTCGTGTTTTTTTCTACCTAGAGTTCGCTCCGATTCTATGGAGGCATCATCCTTTTCCACTATTTATAATTCGACCAATTTATCTGAACCTACGTTTCCTAAAGAAGACGATACGGGTAGGAGTAGAAGTAGCAAAAGTTCTTCATTTTTTGCGGTCTGTTGATAAGGTTGTTGTTGTTGTTTTATAGAATTTGGTAATGTCAAGACGAGCTATTCGACTAATGAATAGCGTGTTTCACGACGTCAGTGCTGCTGAAATAGCTGCTTCTAGTGACACTGTTTGCATTATATGTCGGGAGGAGATGATATCACACTCGGACGCCTCAGCCGCCGTTGCTCCTGCAGGCACCATAAAGCGTCTACCATGCGGGCATATTTTTCACGCCAGTTGCCTTCGTAATTGGTTTCAGCGTCAACAAACCTGTCCCACTTGTCGTCTCAACATCCTTCGTCGTCCGCCCGGTAATACTGATCAGGCGAATCGTCCTCAAAGGCGTGGAGGTAGACCAAGTCAAGGCCGCCAACAACAACAACAGCAGCAGCTTGATGAAGTGCAAAACCGGAGGGGTGCAAGCACTGCGCAAATCCGCATCGACATTCAACACATGTCGTCTGGGAGAAGTACAGTTGAGACGAATGGCCAGGCAATGCTTCCTGGTGTATGTCCGTGGAAATTATAAATTAAGTTGTGCCACACTCTCTGGTGCTGTCAATTTTTTTGGCTCATGATTTCTAGACCACAAGTTGCATCACACCCTTCCCATCGAATGTGAATTTCCCAGGGCTTCTTCAAATCAATCAAGGTGACAATGGCGTGCCTCAAATGTTCTCCACTCCTCCCATCATTGTTCCCGGTGAGTGGCATCTTTTTTGCCACACTGCAGTTGCATGATCCATCGTTAGCCCTAGCCCTCGAATTCACACTGGTAAAGTTGATTAATCGTCGTTGAACTTTACTTAGCTCATCATCCCATCCGCTCCATGGATTCACAATTATGCCAACGTTTAATGTAAGCAAATTCAACTCATCTCATCGAATTTCGTCTCTCTCCCACGTTGTGTTTGTGGGATGGAGCTGTAGGAGGTAAAAACAATTGGCTATCCACATAGCAGTAACACTCTTTGTCTAGCTGAAATGATGCTACAAAGCAATTACGAGCGGCACTGAGTGGAATGTTACATGCCACACTGAGGTGAGGGAGGTGCGCATATTGCTTTAAGGGGATCACTTCTTGCCCGGTGTCGGCGCAGCTATGCCCGAGGTGCCAGCAGACCTGGCGCAATCGGCTGCTACTGAGCTCGAGTTACGGGCCAGTGTGGAAGCACGCATCGCGACATTGCAGCGCATTCAGCTCCTACTTGACGCTTCCATTGTGCAAATGAACTCCTACTTAGCGGCCACTACCTCGCAGGCTCCGCTCGTCTCTCCTCCTCCCCATCACCACATGCAGACAGATCGCCCTCTCGCAGGTGATGGTGCACTGAGGAGCACCGAAAAAGGTGGCCTAGGCAGGTAAAATGCACTACACTGCGACCATTGCACATATTTTTATGTCTCCGATGTCCGCTGCGTAGGGGTCGCATTGCGAGTTTGTGATGCGATTACCAAATGGCAGCCTCCGCAGCCCAATTTGTGTCCAATGCACTTATATTTTGCATTGCCTTGTAAGAGGCGGCCTGGATTAGGCAGACTTAACGGTACGTACTATTCTTTTTACTTCACTACAGCTGCAGTGACGAAGAAGTGAGTAGTGCAGAGGAGAAGAAGGCGGACGCGGGGAAGGCAGCAGCTTCCGATGGTACGTCGTGATTTGTGCCACATCTGCAGCTGCGAATTGTTTTTTTCAAACCAAACCACAACGCAATTGTCAACCTTAAGAGCACTCCTTTTGGTGGCTCTAGAGCTGTTTTGCCGTTTGAGAGAGAGGAATAAATGTAGCGTGTAAAATGTAATGATAATGGCATGCATTTTGCACACTTTCATTGAGCGTCTAGTGGGTGGGTGGGTGGGTGGGTGGGAATGCAGTGCTGTGCGTGTCATAATCGTCCCTTTCCGTCACGTGGTGAAATTGGGGTCGAGAAGACAAGTTGATGCGTAACTGGAAGGAAACTGTTTATCCAGCAGCATGATTCTACCCTGCAGTAGGAAAATAGTGTGGTTATGGTAATGCCGACGCACTTCTCGCCGACACGTCCATTCGGGTGCAGATGGAGCTGCAATAGGCACGTTGACACTGAGCGAACCACGATTTGATCTCAACTTCCGTATGTAGCGTCCCGACGCTCCCCATAGTATGGAAAAAGGCATAAGTGAGGTTGATACATGCATTCCGAAGAAAACAGGGTAAATGGGGCCTGAGCGTAGCCGGAAGGCCAGCTTACATGTACAGTAACCATACAACTCCTTAAGCGACCGC